CCCCCTCCCCCCACCCCCCCAACCTTGCACACCCCCCCCCCGGGTCCGTGGTTCCAGGGGTCCTCCTGTGCGAAGGCCAGGGGCTCCCCCCCTTTCCCCCCCCCCCTTTCCCCCCAACCCCCCAAACCCTTTCACCCCCCCCGGGGCCGGGTTTTCCCGGGGTCCACGTGTGGGGAAGGCCAGGGGGCCCCCCCCTTTCCCCCCCTTCCCCCCCCCAAAACCACCTTGCCCCCACCCCCCCCCCGGGCCGTGGATCCAGGAGTCCACCCCGTGGGGAAGGCCCCGGTGCTCCCCCTTTCCCCCACTTCCCCCACCCCCAAAACCCTTTCACACCCCCCCGGGGCCTTGGGGTTTCCAAAGGGTCCCCCCGTGCGAAGGTCAGGGGCCCCCCCTTCCCCAACCCTTTCCCCCCCCCCCCCAAAACCCTTTCAACCCCCTCCCCCCCGGGGCCGTGGTTTTCCGGAGTCCCCCCTGGGGCGAAGGCCAGGTGCTTTTCCCCCCTTCCCCCACTTCCCCCCCCACCCCCCAAACCCTTTTTCACCTCCCCCCCGGGGCCGTGGTTCCAGGAGTCCCCTGGGCGAAGGCCCGGGCTTTCCCCCCTTTCCCCCCTTTCCCCCCACCCGAACCTTGCACCCCCCCCGGGGCCGGGGGTTCCAGAAGTCCCCCCCTGTGCTAAGGCCAGGTGCCCCCCTTCCCCACTTTCCCCCCCACCCCAACCTTGCAACCCCCCCCCCGGGCAGTGGTTTCCAGGGTCCCCCTTGTGTACGCCAGGTGCCCCCCTTCCCCACTTCCCCCCCCCACCCCAAACCCTTTCACCCCCCCCGGGGCCGTGGTTCCCGGGGTCCACCTGTTTGGGGACCCAGGTGGGTCCCCCCTTCCCCACTTTTTCCCCCCCTTCCCCCCCACACCCCAAAACCCTTTCACACCTCCCCCCCCGGGTCCGTGGTTCCAGGAGTCCCCCTGTGGGGAAGGGCCCGGTGCTCCCCCTTCCCCCCCTTCCCCCCCCCACCCCAACCTTTCACACCTCCCCCCCGGGGCCGTTTGGTTTTCCCGGAGTCCCCCTGTGGCCCAAGGCCAGGTGCTCCACCCCTTTCCCCCCCTTTTCCCCCACAAACCCCCAAACCTTTTCACCCCCCCCGGGGCCGGGTTTCCCGGGGTCCACCTGTGGGGAAGGCCAAATGCTCCCCCTTCCCCATTTCCCTTTAAACCCCCAAACCCTTCACACCTCCCCCCCGGGGGCCGTGGATCCAGGAGTCCACCGTGCGGGGGGGCTTCCCGGGCTCCCCCTTTCCCCCTTCCCCCCCCACCCCCAAACCCTTTACACCCCCCGGGCCGGGTTTCCCAAAAAGGCTACCTTTTGGGGAAAGGCCCGGGGCTCCCCCCCCCACTTCCCCCCCCACCCCAACCTTGCACACCTCCCCCCCGGGGGCCGTGGTTCCAGGATCCAACCTGTGCGAAGGCCAGGTGCTCCCCCCCTTTCCCCCCTTCCCCCCCACCCCAACCTTTCACACCTCCCCCCCGGGGCCCCTTTGGTTTTCCCGGAGTCCCCCCTGTGCGAAAGGGCCCGGGGGTCCCCCTTCCCCCTTTCCCCCCTTCCCCCACACCCCAAAACCCTTGGGAACCCCCCCCCCCTCAGTTGGGGTTTCCCGGAGTTTCCAAATTGTTTGACGCCCCGGTGCTTCCCCCCTTCCCCCCCTTCCCCCCCCACCCCAACCTTGCAAACCCCCCGGGGCCGTGGTTTTCCCGGGGTCCACCCCGTGTGACGCCAGGTCTTTCCCCCCTTCCCCCCTTTCCCCACTTCCCCCCCAACCCCCAACCCCCTTTCACACCCCCCCCCCCGGGCCGTGGTTTCCCGGATCCCAAACCGGGGCGAAGGCCCGGGCTCCCCCTTCCCCACTTCCCCCCCCCCACCCCAACCTTGCAACAAACCCCCCCCCCGGGCCGTGGTTCCCCGGAGTCCCCCTTGGTTTCGAAGGCCAGTGCTCCCCCCCCCCCACATCCCCCACCCCCCCCAAACCCTTTCAAACCCCCCCGGGGCCGTGGTTCCAGGAGTCCACCTGTGCGAAGGAGGTGCTCCCCCTTTCCCCCCACTTCCCCCACACAGCAACCTTTCCCCCCCCCGGGGCCGTGGGTTTCCCGGAGTCCCCCCTTCCCGGGGGCGAAGGCCAGGGGCTTTCCCCCCTTTCCCCCCTTCCCCCCCCACCCCAACCCTTTCACCCCCCCGGGTCCGTGGGTTCCCCGGAGTCCACCTGTGTGACGCCCCGGTGCTTTCCCCCCTTCCCCCCTTCCCCCCCACCCCAAAACCCTTTCAAACCCCCCCCGGGTCCGTGGTTTTAGGAGTCCACCTGTGTGACGCAAGGTGGCTCCCCCCTTTCCCTTTCCCCCCTTCCCCCACACCCCCAAAACCCTTTCACACCTCCCCGCCCCCGGGGCCGTGGTTCCAGGAGTCCACCTGTGCGAAGGCCAGGTTTCCCCCCCCCTTCCCCAAAATTTCCCCCCCCAAAAACCCCAAACCCTTGGCCCCCCCCCCGGGGCCGTGTTTTCCCGGAGTCCTCCTGTGCGAAAAGGGCCCCGTGCTCCCCCTTCCCCCCCCCCTTCCCCCCCCACCCCAACCTTGCACCCCCCCCCCGGGGCCATGGTTACAGGGGTCCACCTGTGTGACGCCCGGTGCTCTCCCCTTTCCCCCCTTCCCCCACACCCCAACTTTGGGACCCCCCCACGAGTCCGTGGGTTTCCCGGAGTCCAAACCCGTGGTGACGCCAGGTGCTCCCCCTTTTCCCCCCTACCCCCCACCCCCAACCATGCCCCCCCCCTTTTTCCTGGTTCCCCGGAGTCCCTGTGTGAAGGGCCCGGTCTCCCCCTTTCCCACTTTCCCCCCCACCCCCCAAACCCTTTCCCCCACCCCCCCGGGGGCCGTGGTTTTTCCCGGGGGTCCACCTGTGCGAAGGGAAGGGGGGCTCCCCCTTTCCCCCCTTCCCCCACCACCCCCAAACCTTCACACCCCCCCCCGGGGTTTCCCTGGGTTTCCCGGAGTCCCCCCTGTGCGGGAAAGGGCCCCGTGCTCCCCCTTCCCCACTTTCCCCCCCACACCCCAACCTTGCACACCTCCCCCCCGGGTCCGTGGACCAGGAGTTTCCCCCTGTGTGAAGGCCAGGTGCTCCCCCTTCCCCCCTTCCCCCCCACCCCAACCTTGCACACCCCCCGGGGCCGTGGTTCCAGGGAATTTCCCCCGTGGCGAAGGTCAGGGCTCCCCCTTCCCACTTCCCCCCCCGACCCCAAACCCTTTCACAAACCCCCCCCCCCCGGGGCCGTGGGTTTCCCGGAGTCCACCTGTTCGAAGGCCAGGGGCCCCCCCTTTCCCCCCCCTTCCCCCACACCCCAACCCTTTGCACAAACCCCCCCCCGGGTCCCCTGGATTTCCCGGGGTCCACCTGTGTGAAAAGGGCCGGGGCTTCCCCTTCCCCACTTTCCCCCCCACCCCAAACCCTTGGGACACCCCCCGGGTCCTTGGGTTTCCCGGGGTCCACCTGGCGAAGGGCAGGGGCTTCCCCCCTTCCCCCCACCCCCCCCCCACAACCCAACCTTTCCAACACCCCCCCCCGGGGCCGTGGGTTTCCCGGGGCCACCTTTGCGAAAGGCCCGGTGCTCCCCCCTTTCCCCCCTTCCCCCCCCACCCCCCAAACCCTTTCACACCTCCCCCCCGGGGCCGTGGGTTCCCCGGATCCCCACCTGTGCGAAGCCAGGTGCTCCCCCTTCCCCATTTTTCCCCCCCCACCCCAAAACCCTTTCACCCCCTCCCCCCCCCCGGGGCCGGGGATCCCGGAGTCCACCTGTGTGAAGGCCAAGGCTCCCCCCCTTTTTCCCCCTTTCCCCACACCCCCAAACCCTTTCACACCCCCCCCCCTCCGTGGTTCCAGGGGTCCAAACCCGTGGGGGAAGGTCAGGTGCCCCCCCCTTCCCCCCTTCCCCCCCACCGAAAACCCGCACACCCCCCGGGACCGTGGTTCCGAAATCCCCCTGGCGAAGGCCAGGTCTTCCCCCCTTCCCCCCCCTTTCCCCCCACAACCCCCAAACCTTTTCACCCCCCCCGGGGCATTTGGGTTTCCCGGAGTTCCCCACCTGTGTGGGCGCCAGGGGCTCCCCCTTTTCCCCCACCCCCCCAACCCCAAACCCTTTCACACCTCCCCCCCCCGGGTTTCCCTGGGTTTCCCGGAAATCCACCTGGGCGAAGGCCAGGTGCTCCCCCCCCTTTCCCCCCCTTCCCCCCAAAACCCCAACCTTTCACAACCCCCCGGGGCCGTGGGTTTCCCCCAGTCCCCCCCTTGCGAAGGTCAGGGGCTCCCCCCTTTCCCCCCCTTCCCCCACAACCCAACCTTGCACACCTCCCCCCCGGGTCCGGGTTTTCCCGGAGTCCCCCTGTGCGAAAGGGCCCGGGGGCCCCCCCCCCCTTCCCCCTTCCCCCACACCCCAACCTTGCACAACCCCCCCCCCCCCCCGGGGGCCCCTAGTTTTTCCCGGAGTCCACCTGTGGGGGGAAGGCCCGGTGTCCCCCCTTCCCCCCTTTCCCCCCCACCCGAACCTTGCACACCCCCCCCGGGGCCGTGGTTTTCCCGAATCCACCTGTCGAAAGGCCAGGGGCTTTCCCCCCCCCTTTCCCCCATTTCCCCCCCACCCCAACCTTCAACCCCCCCCGGGGCAAATGGGTTTCCCGGAGTCCACCCGTGTGACCCAAGGGCTTTCCCCCCTTTCCCCCTTCCCCCCCAAACCCCCAAACCCTTTCACACATCCCCCCCGGGGCCGTTGGGCCCCGGGGTCCACCTGTGCAAGGCCAGGTGCCCCCCCTTCCCCCCCCCCAACCCCCCCCCGGGGGCCCCCCCCCGGGGGGGGCCCCCCCCCAAAGGGCCCGGGCCCCCCTTCCCCCACTTCCCCCCACCCCAAACCCCCCCCCCGGGCCTTTCCCCCCCCCTTTAAGGCCCGGGTTCCCCTTCCCCCCCCCCCCCCCCCCCCCCCCCCCCCCCCCAAACCCCCCCCCTCCCCCCCCCCCCCCTCCCGGCCCCCCCCCCGGCCCCCCAAAACCCCCCCTTGGGCCCCCCCCCCCCCCCAAACCCCCCCCCTTTTCCCCCCCCCCCCCTTTTTTTCCCCCTTTCCCCAAAACCCCAAAAAAACCCCCCCCTTCCCCCCCCCCAAATTTTCCCCCCCCCCCGGGGTTTTTCCCCCCCCCCCCCCCCCCCCCCCCCCCTTTCCCCCTTTCCCCCCCACCCCCCCGGGTTCCCCCTTCCCCCCCTTTCCCCCCCCCCCCCCTTTTCCCCCCCCCCCCCTTCCCCCCCCCCCCCGGGGCCCGGGGGGGTTTTTTCCCCCCCCCCCCCCCCCCCAACCCCCCCCCCCCCCCCGGGGGGGCCCCCAAGGGGGCCCCCCCCCCCCCCCCCCCCCCCCCCCCCCCCTCCCCCCCCCCTTTTCCGGGCCCGGGGGGGCCCCCCCCCCCCCCCCCCCCGGGCCCCCCCCCCCCCCCCCCCAAACCCCCCCCCGGGGGGTTTTTCCCCCCCCCCCCCGGGGGGGCCCCCCCCCCCCCCCCCCCCCCCCCCCCCCCCCCCCCCCCCCCCCAACCGGGCCCCCCCCCCCAAACCCCCCCCCCCCCCCCCCCCCCTTTCCCCCCCCCTTTTTCCCCCCCCCCCCCCCCCTTTTCCCCCCCCCCCCCAAACCCCCCCCCCCCCCAACCCCCCCCAAACCCCCCCCGTTTTTCCCCCCCCCCCCCAAAAAGGGCCCCCCCCCCTTTTTTCCCCCCCCCCCCCCCCCCCGGGGGGGGTTTTCCCCCCCCCCCCCCCAAACCCCCCCCCCCAATTCCCCCCCCCCCTTTCCAAAAAACCCCCCCCCCGGGGGTTTTCCCCCCCCCCCCCCCCCCCCCCCCCCCCCCCCCCCCCCCCCCCCCGGGGGGGGGGGCCCCCCCCCCCCCCCCCCCCCCCCCCCCCCCTTTTTTTCCCCCCTTCCCCCCCCCCCCCCCCCCCCCCCCCCTTTCCCCCCCCCCCTTTCCCCCCCAAACCCTTAACCCCCCCCCCCCCCCCAACCCCCCAACCCCCTTCCCCCCCCCCGGTTTGGGGGGGGGGGGGGGGGGGGGGGGGGGGGGCCCCCCCCCCCCCCCCCCCCCAACCCCCCCCCCCTTTTTTTCCCCCCGGGGGGGCCCCCCCCCCCCCCCCCCCCCCCACCCCCCCCCCCAACCCCCCCCCCCCCGGGGGTTTTTTCCCCCCGGGGGGGGCCCCCCCCCCCTTTCCCCCCCCCCCCCCCCCCCCCCCCGGGGTTTCCGGGTTTTTGGGAAAGGGGGCCCCCCCCCCCCCCCCCAAATTTCCCCCCCCCAAACCCCCCCCCCCCCGGGGGGGGGCCCCCCCCCCCCCAACCCCCCCCCCCCCCCCCCCCCCCCCTTGGCCCCCAAAAATTTTTTTCGGGGGGGCCCCCCCCCCCCCCCCCCCCCCCTTTCCCCCCCCCCCCCCCCCCCCCGGGCCCCCCCGGGGGGGGGGCCCCCCCCCCCCCCCCCCCCCCCCCCCCCCCCCCCCCCTTCCCCCCGGGCCCCTGGGAAGGGCCCCTTTTCCCCCCCCCCCCCCCCCCCCCCCACCCCCCCCCCCCCCGGGGGGGAAACCCCCCGGGGGGGCCCCCCCCCCCCCCCCCCCCCCAAAAAAACCCCCCCCCCCCCCGGGTTTCCGGGCCCCTTCCCCCAAAAACCCCCCCCCCCCCCCCCCCAAAAAACCCCCCCCCCCCCGGGGCCCCCCGGGGGGGGGCCCCCCCCCCCCCCCCCCCCCCCCCCAACCCCCCCCCCCCCGGGGCCCCCCCCCCCCTTTGGGGGGGCCATGGGCCCCCCCCCCCCCCCCCCCCCCCCCCCCCCCCCAACCCCCCCGGGGGGCCCCCCCCCCCCCCCCCCCCCCCCCCCCCCCCCCCCCCCCCCGGGGCCCCCCTTTTCCCCCCCTTCCCCCCCCCCCCCCCCCCCCCCCCCCCCCCCCCCCCGGGCCGGGGGGCCCCCCCCCCCCAATTCCCCCCCCCCCCCCCCCCCCGGGCCCCCGGCCCCCCGGGGTTGGGGGAACCCCCCCCCCCCTTTCCCCCCCCCACCCCCCCACCCCCCCCGGGGCCCCCCCGGGGGGGGGAACCAATTTCCCCCCTTCCCCCCCCCCCACCCCCCCCCCCCCCCCCCCCCCCCTTTTTAAAAAAGGGGGGCCCCCCCCCCCCTTTTTCCCCCCCCCCCCCCCCCCCCGGGGCCCCCCCCCCCGGGGGTTTTGGGGGGCCCCCCGGGGGCCCCCCCCCCCCCCCCCCCCCACCCCCCCCCCCCCCCGGGGGGGGGTTTGGGGGGCCCCCCCGGGGTTTTCCCCCCCCCCCCACTTCCCCCCAAAAACCCCCCTTCCCCCCCCCCGGGGGGGGAAGGGCCCCCCAAGGGGGGGTGCCCCCCCCCCTTCCCCCTTCCCCCCCCCCCAACCTTTCACACCCCCCCCCGGGGGGGTTTTTAAACCCCGGGGGGGCCCCCTTCCCCCCCCCCCCCCCCCAAAAACCCCCCCCCCCCCCCCGGGGGGGTTTCCGGGCCACCTGTGGGGAACCCGGTGCCCCCCCCTTCCCCCCCCCCCCCCCCCCCCCCCCCCCCCGGGGGGGCCCCCCCCCCCCCGGGGCCCCCCCCCCCCCCCCCCCCCCAAACCCCCCCCCCCCCCCCCGGGGGGGGGGGCCCCCCCCCCCCAAACCCCCCTTCCCCCCCCCCCCCCCCCCACAAACCCCCCCCCCCCTTTTTTTTCCCCCCCCCCGGGGGCCCCCCCCCCCCCCTTCCCCCCCCCCAAACCCCCAAACCCCCCCGGGCCCCTTTCCCCGGGCCCCTTTTTGGGGCCCCCTGGCCCCCCCCCCCCCCCACTTCCCCAAAAAACCCCCCCCCCCCCCGGGGGTTTCCGGGTTTTTTCGGGGGCCCCCCCCCCCCCCCCCCCCCCCCCCCCCCCCCCGGGGCCGGGGGTTCCGGGGGGGCCCCCCCCGGGGGGCCCCCCCCCCCCCCCCCCCCCCCCCCCCCCCCCCCCGGGGGGGAAAGGGGGGGGGGCCCCCCCCCCCCCCCCCCCCCACCCCCAACCTTTCCCCCCCCCCCGGGGGGGGGGAAACCCCCGGGGGGCCCCCCCCCCCCCCCCCCCCCTTTTTCCCCCCCCCCCCCCGGGCCGGGGCCCCCCCCCCACCCCCCTTTCCCCCCCCCCCCCCCCCCCCCCCCCCCCCCGGGGGGCCCCTTTAACCCCCCCCCCCCTTCCCCCCACCCCCCCCCTTTTTTCCCCCCCCCCCCCCGGGGGGGGGAAAAACCCCCCCCCCCTTCCCCCCCCCCCTTCCCCCCCCCCCCCCCCCCCCCCTTTTTTTGGGGGCCCCCCCCCCCCCCCCCCCCAACCCCCCCCTTTTTTCCCCCCCCCCCCCCCTTCCCCCCCCCTCCCCCCCCCCCCCAAGGGGGGGGGGTTTCCCCCCCTTCCCCCCCCCCCCCCCAACCCCCCAAAAACCCCCCCCCTTTTTTAACCCCACCCCCCCGGGGGCCCCCCCCCTTTTCCCCCCCCCCCCCAAAACCCCCCCCCCCCCCCCCCCCCGGGGGGGCCCCCCCCCCCCCCCCCCCCCCCCCCAAACCCCCCCCCCCGGGGGGGGTTTTCCCCCCCCCCCCCTTTAAAACCCCCCCCCCCCCCCCCAAAACCCCCCCCCCCCCCCCCCCCCGGGGGGGGGCCCCCCCCCCCCCCCTTTTCCCCAATTTTCCCCCGGCCAAACCCCCCCCCCCCCTTCCCCCCCCCAAAACCCCCCCCCCCCCCCCCGGGGGGGCCAAAAAAAGGGGGGGGGGGGGGCCCCCCCCCCCCCCCCCCCCCCCCCCAACCTTTCACACCCCCCCCCCCCCCGGGGGGGGGGGGGGGGCCCCCCCCCCCCCCCCCCCAAACCCCCCCCCGGGGCCCCCCCCCCCCCCGGGGGGCCCCCCCCCCCCCCTTTTGGGGGGGGTTTTTCCCCCCCCCCCCCCCCCCAACCCCCCCCCCTATAAATAATTTTTAAACAGTTTAACTAATTTCTTTCTATTCTCACATTTTTACTTACCTAACATCTTCTAGACCATCATAAAACATTATCCCCCCCCCACGGACTATAAACATTATGGGATGAAAATAAAAACTAGCGGCTGGGGATATTCGTTCCCTTGACGTGGACAAAATATGGTGGGTCTTACCCACTGGTCAGTGCGTCTCCGACTTACTAACATTCTACATTATGATGTCATGTTCTGTGATGTGTAAATGTTAGCAGAATTATAAAATTAATGTTGTATTGTAATGTACTGCGATGTTTTATTGTTAGTATGTATTATACCTTGAATGGTGTACCACACAATGTTCTTTCTTCAACATTAATGTTTATGCCATTAAGAATACTCAATGTTTAAGACAAAGAAGATATTCTTATAAATCATCTTAGTAAACATTTAGTTTAATTAGAATTATTTATTAAATAATTCTCTCACTTTTCACATATACACATCTCTCACCTCTTCAGTAATGATATAAAAACATTCACAACAACAGATGGAAAAAAAACTCGGTAATGAAAATAAAAACTGTCAACTTGGATGATTCGATCTACTGACAATAAGAATTTTGGTGGTGGCTGCCACAACCTGGCCAGTACGACTGTGTGTTAATGTCTCTCATACTGTTGTTATGTACTGTGATGTATCAATGTTAACATATATTGCACACTGAAAGTTGTGGTGCGCTATGTTGCAGAGATAAAATGCATAATGTTGGTAAGTAATAAAAAGACACAAGTGTAGAAGGTAACTATTGGAAGGATTCAAGTGTGTAAGACTGGGCGCTACTGGAAGAATACTACTGGAAGGATTGTTACCAGAAGACTATTGGTAGAAGACCTGTGGTAGGATTCTGCTGGGAATAGTGTGCTGGCAGGACTCTGTTGGTAAAGATTTTAGAGTGCGGTTCATTACTTATTAGACGAATCAAGGCAGCTGGAATTACAGTAACATATAAAACAGTATAGTAACAAACAAAACAATAAAGTAACTCATAAAAGAGTACAAAAACAATAAAGCAATGTAGCTAAACATAAAACAGTAAACTGAGGCGAAAAACAGTATAGTGACACATTAATAAGTACAATAATACATAAAACAGCACAATAGTACATAAAACAGCTTATTAACAAATAAAACACCATATTAACACAAAAAAATTATATAACTTAAAACAGTATAATAACACAGAAGAACAGTATAATACAATAACACAGGAAACCAGTACAGTACAATAACATAGAAGACCAGTACAGTACAATAACACAGAAGACCAGTACAGTATAATAACACAGAAGACCAGTACAGTACAATAACACAGAAGACCAGTACAGTACAATAACACAGAAGACCAGTACAGTACAATAACACAGAAGACCAGTACAGTAAAATAACACAGAAGACCAGTACAGTACAATAACACAGAAGACCAGTACAGCACAATAACACAGAAGACCAGCACAGTACAACAACACAGAAGACCAGTACAGTACACTAACACAGAAGACCAGTACAGTACAAGAACACAGAAGACCAATACAGTACAAGAACACAGAAGACCAGTACAGTACAATAACACAGAAGACCAGTACAGTACAATAACACAGAAGACCAGTACAGTACAATAACACAGAAAACCAGTACAGTACAATAACACAGAAGACCAGTACAGTACAATAACACAGAAGGCCAGTACAGTACAATAACACAGAAGACCAGTGCAGAATAATAACACTGAAGACCAGTACAGTACAATAACACAGAAGACCAGTACAGTACAATAACACAGAAGACCAGTACAGTACAATAACACAGAAGACCAGTACAGTACAATAACACACAAGACCAGTACAGTACAATAACACAGAAGACCAGTACAGTACAATAACACAGAAGACCAGTGCAGAATAATAACACTGAAGACCAGTACAGTACAATAACACAGAAGACCAGTACAGTACAATAACACAGAAAACCAGTACAGCACAATAACACAGAAAACAAGTACAGTACAATAACACAGAAGGCCAGTACAGTACAATAACACAGAAGACCAGTACAGTACAATAACAGACAAGACCAGTACAGTACAATAACACACAAGACCAGTACAGTACAATAACACAGAAGACCAGTACAGAACAATAACACAGAAGACCAGTACATACAATAACACAGAAACCCCACAG